GCTTCATATATGAATTGTTATTTGTTCACTTCACTCATTTCTTTGTTCTTTTCTTTTGCTAAACTCTGAATTTTAGACAGTTTATATCAAAATACATAAACTTCCTTGGCTTAGTCACTCATTACACTTTTATTTAAACCATAATTACTTAATTTGTCCATATGTCTACAGTATACATATAATTTTTGTCCGTGGGGATTTTATTTTGATGCTTGTTTCAAATGTCTGCTCTGTGTCTGTTCTCTGCAGGCAGCTGGTCCCACTGTGGAGAGGCCAGCAGGGGTGGAGCGGCCAGCCAAACACCCCTTCAGTGGAAGGTCAGTTTGTATTTGTGTGTGTGTGTGACTGACTTCTATGTGTTACTAATAGCTCACCTTGATAAACATGTAAAATATATTTTAAAGAAGTGTGGTCATGAAGCTGGTTGGAGCAGAGATGGAATAATGACTCACAGAGAGCAGCAAAGATGGTGGTGGAGCGACTGGAGGCTGCTGTTGTTTTGATTTGGTGCTTTGTAAATAAAGTTGAATTGAACTGAACTGAAAAAACAAGCAGTAAAAGAAGAAAAAGCCTGTTAATGCCCAGGTACGTCTCTGGATGGCTGCCGGGTGCTGAGGCTGTGGTTGCGGATAGTTCTTGTTTGTGTGCATGTTTGTCTACATTTGTGTTTACTTCTGTTTATATGTGTACTTCTGCCCTACTTTCCCTTCATTAAAGCTGTATTCTAATCCAGATCAAGGCCTTCGCAGATACAGTGCAAAAAGCTCCATCATTAGCTCACTACAAAAGATTGCACAAACAGGGTCAGGGTCACAAACAGAAACGCAGAAACCCACTCAGTGAACACACACGGCCACGCAGAGACCGCCACACTCACATGGGCTGAAAATAAACAGCTACAAACACGCTTGCATCTTCTTCTTTTTTTTTACTTTCACAGGCAGACACACATGCAAACACTAATGAGTGCAGTAATTAAGTGTTCAGGGCGTAGAGTGCCCCGTGCCTCCTTTGGGCCTTTTAGGCATGTGTGTACATGTGTTTGTTTTGGTAGTGAGGAGGGCAGGCTGCCACATTATAACACAGGGAGAAACAGTCCACAGTATACACAGTAATCTGTAAATCTGTGCAGGAGTACTGACAGTGAGGCTTTAGCCAGGTGTGTTTCTGTGGTCAAGCCCTGCATTAAGCTCCTCCCTCTACAGAAGCCTATACTGTGAGATGGTTTACATTTACACCGGAGCAGATTAGCATGATACCGTACGCTGCACTCTCGGCTTGCTCTGGGGCAGGTTACCTTAGACCCATCAGTCGAGAGTGACCAATCGATTTTCTGGAAGACGGTGTCAGATTCCCAGAAAACTTTTAGGGAGCTTGTGAAGGTTCATCTGTCCCTGACAAACACCAGTAAGAAATGCAGATTCTAAGCTGCAGCTTTCTACACTGTTTTTCTCTCTTTTGGCTGAATACAATTTAAAAGCAATTTCATTGTTCCATAAGCTTTAACACAGAAATATCCTGAGAACAGGCTACCTGAGCCTCGTCCTTGTTGACCTTATATCAAATTTGCAAGTAAGCCTCTTTCCCAGTTTGAATTATGTTGTATATTTGCACTCAGGCTGTTCTACACCACTGGGATTGCAGCTAAGAGAATATGGCAGTGAGTGTCTTCATGAAAAACTGGAGCCACCGCTCATTTATTCATATTTCAGTAGGAAAATGGGAAATGGATGCTGCAATTTATTGAAACGTGCAAACATAAATAGTTTAAGGATTGTAAGAAAAAACAGAGTTGGTACAATTCTACCAAAGTTGTAAGTCGGTAAATGGTGTGAAGCCTCTGAGGCTCGTCTGATTTTACTGCTTCAATAATGTTGAGCTGCGAGCTCTGGGAGGCCCAATCCGTGATAACATGTTTCTATCCAGGAATGCTTTTACTGCATGTTTCAGCATGTTTGGGATCGTGCTGAAAAATAACGTCATTGCCACCCTTTGGTGCCATTTTAGCCGCTTAGTCAAAGGAAAAGTTCTAAAATGAAAAGATTCACGATAGGGCTGCTCGATTATGGCAAAAATGATAATCACGATTATTTTCACTGAAATTGAGATCTCGATTATTTGACGATATTTATTTAACAATAACAATGT